AGAGAGAGAGAGAGAGAGAGAGAGAGAGAGAGAGAGAGAGAGAGAGAGAGAGAGAGAGGGCATCTTCCAAACGCTGGCTGATGCCCTCTCTCTCTCTTTCTCTTTCTCTCTCTCTCTCACTCATGAATCTTCCTCTTTATCGAGGAAGATTCATTCTCGTTGGGGATGTATGATTTCGACTGTTTTTTTTTGCAGAATGTTGTATGTTGTTTTTGCCTTTTTTTTTTCCCGTGGTGTACTACTGGTTGTCCGAGGCTCGACAATAAAGTCCGAGGCTTAGGAATGTTCGGGCTACCGGTAGTCCAAGCCTCGGACTTGATAGCTGGGCGTGGTACTGGTGGTTTAAACCACCAGCACCTACTACCGGTAGGGGGGACTGTTAACGCGGTATCCGTAGCCGAATCCGCATGCCCCTCCTGTCCAAATTTATGCAAAGTCAGGGGCCTGACCCACTAGCAAAGTATTCTACCACTCCGTTCAGGATTTGATCATGTGTGGCCTCAAGTGACGCAGTACGGCCATTGAATGCATTGGATCTCGATGGCCTGTTAGTTTCTGAGCGGGGGCTGTAAAACTGCCTACCTCTGTCCAATGAGATGCGCCGAAAAAAAAAAGAAAAACAAACTTGGACATGATAACCCGTGGCTTTTTGTGGGCGGGAAGTCTGGATTGTATGGACTCGAAAGGGGGGGGGGGGTTGATTTCCGGACTTCGGGTCTCTTTAGACACTCCTAAAAGTGCCTGTTTTTAGGATTGCGTCTTGGTTGCACGCAATCCTAAATCCAATTTTGATATCGAAAATGTGGAAACGGCGTTAGGACGAGTCCTAAGGGATTTAGGACTCCCCAGGCAAATCGTCCTAAATTTTCCGGTAGCCCCCGACCTACTGAAAAATTTAGAATTCCCGCGTTTCACGGACTTGTTGCGTCGCTTGCATGCGGCATAGCACCGTCGACACGGAGTTGCTGGTGCAGAAGCGGTCTTTCAGGTCAGTGGTCGGACATCAGAGGTTTTTTGTGGGTCAACGCGGGCAACAGCCACGAACGGTAGCCATTGGCAGGGATTGGACGGGCATTGGCAGGAATGGACGGACATTGGCGACGCAGCTGCGTATACGCATACGAAAACCGGTCGCGGGAGACCTTTTAGGACGAATCCTAAAAGATGATTTTTAGGATTGCGTGTAACGACGCCGCACGAAGTCCTAAAAATCCTTTAGGACTTGTCCTAAAAATTTTAGGATTTTTTTAGGAGTGCCTAACGAGACCCTTCGTTTCTTTTTCTTTTGGCTCTGAAAAATCAAACCTGAAATGTGAAATTCAAATATTGTGGTGGATCTGACAGGAACGCCTCTGCGTCTGTCGGTTGGCCTGTTAGAGGCCTCATGAGATACATGGTGATGAATGTATCCCCGTACCCGTTCCTTGTTCATCCTCGTGGCTGTTTTCGCGGACACATTTTATTGCCACGGTACATCACTAGGAAGACTTACGTGAAGGAGATCATACCAACCCATGAATTCGGGTGCACACTGTCAGCTGTTCTTCTTTGTTTTATGTTCCATTTCAATTCATTTTAAATTAGAAAACGATCCATTCATGAAAATAAAAAATCACTTTCTCTTTTCCAAAAAGCCATAAAATTGCATCACACATTGTAAAATACTTCACTAGTGGGTCCAGGCCCCAGGGGTGAAGTCCCACCGCCCAAGTTAAGTTTAGAAAATGCAACGGTGTGACACCATTTCGACATTAATAAATCCAAAACAAGAAATTAAAAAACTGGAAAAAAAAAGCAAGAAACAACTTTTCTCCTTATTTTTTATAACGACGTCATAACATAACTCGGAGAAATGAAACACGTCTGCCACAGTCGGAGTGAATGTCTCCGTGGAAAAGGGATACTCCCCGTGATGAGCGGACAAAAGGTCACCATTTGTAAAATGGCCAGGGACAACATGGATGACCAAATGCATTCATTGCCCAAAGAAGGAAACGAGTTTGATGCCAAAGAGCCAAACACAACTGTCAGAGTTCCTCCATTGCAGGGGGTATGAAAAATGTGGCAGGCACTAGTGGTTTAATATAAAATTATATAATCATATAAGTTTTTTTTTTTTTTTTTTTTTTTTTTTGTTACCGGAACAGTCGCAACCAAATGTCGTATGATCCTGGCAGTCCGGCCTGATTCATACGACGACAGCTTTAGAATTATAAAAGCTGAAAAACAGGTCCGGCATCCCTCACATCATAGAAAAGGTTCAACACACGCAGGCACATATCCTGTTCCATTAACCATAATTTAATGTGCAAGTTAACCCTACTCTATCAGTATTCAATCCTACGTAAACATCCAACCGGGAACCGGGCCCGGTCTCCCTCACAAAGGCCGACCGTTAGCCCCGGTCACCTTAATCATATAAGTTGTTAGCCCTTGTGTCTCTGATTTCTTTTTTCTTTCTTTTTTTAGAAGTGTGTTTTTCCTTTGGCATTCTACCTGTTAATGACCTTAGCTAGTGTCAGTTTATTTTTTCTTTTTAGTGGTTTAATATTATAATCATATAAGTTGTTAGCCCTTGTGTCTCTGATATTTATTTTTTGTTTGAGAAAACTACGGCGCAGTCAGGGTTACAATTTGTAATTGCATTTGAAACTGCGTTTTAGCAGTTTAGTCAGGCCCCGAGTTGCAATTGCATTTGAAACTGCGTTTTAGCAATTTGAAACTCGGGTTGTTTTTTTCTAGCAGTTCAGTCAGACACATGGCCGTTTCTTTCGTTCTTCAACTTTTTTTTAATTTTTATTTTTTTTCGGTCGCGTGCCGCAACGCACCACGCCGCTCCGCGACTGGAGGAAAAAAAAAACAAAAAAAAACACAGCCCCATGGTTGGGCCACGACCGAGATGTCTCGGCCACACCCCAGACTGCCCACGACCGAGATGTCTCGGCCACAACCCAGACAGGCCACGGCCGAGATGTCTCGGCCACACCCCAGATTGGGCAGGGCCGAGATGTCTCGGCCACAACCGAGATTCGCAGGCACTACCCTTCACAGGCAAACCCGAAGAGAGACAGAGAGGAGACAGCTGCTGTCACACAGACTGTTAGCGGGATTGGAAACAACAGATGCGGCAAAGCGCTACACATGTAGAGCCATAGCCGAAAAAGGAGCCCACACATCCACACTTGCAAAGAAAGATTTCCCTTCCAAAATTTCGGAGAGTACCTCAGAAAAACATAAGCACCGACTCTCGTGCGAGAGGATTGTAAGAACAACTTGTAGCAAACCTCTCCTAGGTGGAGTACCTCTACGCGCTTCGCTAGAGCCGCCCTCCCTACGCTAATCAGCAGGTTCCAGAAGATCGACTTCCTACTGCGAACCTATGCCCTGCTCCGCATTTTATACTCACTTTCCGATTTCCCTTGTTCCTGTCCCCTCGTACTATTCCTTAAGTTTCCCCGTCTATCTTTTCCGAAAACCTTTTGTCTACAGAAATTTCCCAAAACTTCTGATTCTACCGATCTCGTTCTGAACTAAACCGCGCTACTTCCCGTTGTTTTACACCCGCAGATTTGTGTGCTGTGTGTCGCTTCGCTGTTGCTAGCCGCCCCCGTGATCTGCGTCGTCAGTGCCATAGTTAGATTTTTATCTACTGTTAATGTCCCGTCTCACTAGTTGTCAGCACCCGCTGGCTAAGTTCTCGCTGTTCCCGGAGTTGCTAACCGTTGTTGTTTGGACTTTGCCTGACTGATCCCGTCCTGAACTGGGGCGTGGCATCATCCAGATATCCCACTTTCCCATTTTCAGACTTCCAGACTTGCGTGTCATGTGCCAGCTTCACTGAGTGTTGTTGCCGACTGCCTGAATGATCCCTGATCTGTCCTGTTCTCATCTGCATGAATATGGTCGTTCCATTTGTCGTTTTCTTCAGCCCCTTCCGTGCTTATGGCTACCGTCGTGTAGGGTAACTCCCCACGTGGCGGCTGCCACTCGTGCTACCTCAAGAAGGCCATTTGAGGCCTTTAGCCTGGCCAACTTGGCCAGGCACCCCAAGAAAACCTCCGAGGGGTACTCCCGGAGGAGGATCTCATGATAGATGGCAAATAGAGCTAGAATGACTAGTATCTCCATTGTGGCAAGGTCTACGCATCTCTTGATCATGCCGTAGACCGTGTTCTTCTTGACTTGTTTTGGGGTATACGACGAGAAATCTTGTACGCCTTGCACCTTCAAGTTTCCCTCCTTTGCGAGCAGTGTCATATTCCGGTCGGACGGCCAGAACAGCACTTGAGCTGGGTTTGTGCATACCATCACCGTTCCTCCTATGAAATCCCACGCATTCTGCCCTTCGTCCTTTCGGACCAGAGTGAGGTCTTCGTGGTATGTGTCTTGAAATCTTGCCAGGATGACTGCTGCTTTGCCCCTTGGGTCCCTTGACTTGGGGTCTTCGGCCACGAAAATGCTGGCGTCATCCATCATACGAATCCCAGCTACTAAGCATCTGTCCTTCTCCAGTGATCTCATAAACTTGTATTCACCGTATGCGCAGGTGATGCATGCGAGGATCGGACTCACGGGTTTCCCCATCGGGATACCAAAGATTTGTGATTTGACCTCTGTTATGCAAACACTGAAGGATGTCTTCAGCAAGAAGACGACCGCCTCCCTCATAACATCCATAGAGATCGAAATGAAACCTTCCTCCTTCTTACGATCCCTCCCGAACTTGTAGATTTTTCCCCGAACCGACACCTTCACCTGCTTGATCCCTCGTTCCTCGTGTTCGCCAATCAGCCAGTCCACCCCTTCTCTAATCGCTCCGTGGTTCAATCTGGAGAACATCTCCTTGACGTCGAAGCACTGGCCATGCACTTCGGCAGCTGCTGCTTTCCGGAATTGCCGCCCTGTCTTCTGAAGGGCGGTTGGCAGTTGTGCCATTGAGTTGAGATTGAAGTGCTTGGACGCACTGGTTAACAGTAGTAGGTACCTTAGTCCTCTCCCCACCCTCTTGTCCATCACTCTCGTTGGTTCCGTACAGGCGGGAGATATTGGACGCCATTTCGACAAGTCTTTGTCCTTAGGCGTCACATACGGTCTCCCAAACCTGCCACCGGTGCACCACGCTTTTCGAGTTTCTGTTCTCGAAACTCGACTTTGAGTTGCTTCACTACAGCTGCTTCCTCCTGCTGAATCGTCTCCAGACTTGGATTCAAGTTAAAGGTCATTTTGAACGCGTGCACATATGTCGTAGGACATAACAACAGAGTCTCCCGGTTGTTCCGATCCACTGGGACGAAGACCAGTTGTGAGAACTCCGCCGCCCATGCTCTTACCTCCGTGGTTGTCATTGCTGCTGACTTCGTTCCCGCTTTCTGCAGGTAGTTGAACCTCTCCATGTTGATACTGCAGTTCGTCCATCTTGTGTTTACCGCTCCTTGAATACCTTTTGTAATGTCTGCCTGTCTCGAGCTGTCTTGGTGAGGTGCAGTAACGTTCTTAGAGTTCTTGACAAACCCCGGAGCTGCCTTCAACTCCGAGACTCTGCATAGAACGTGCCCGTTGATTTTCGGTGTGTCTGGAAAAAGCTCACATCGGCACACCTGGTCGTACCCCCTCAACAGGCAGCTTCTTTGGTTATGTATCAGCTGGCCAACTGTCTTATTCTTCTCCCAGATTACCCTCGATCTAGCTATGAGGATATCTGCCACACTCCTCCCCAGATTGTTGTTCTCCCGAATCACAGTTGCTAGTGCTTCCCTGACTTTCTTCAGACTGACGATGCTGTCGTATTTCACCTTGACCGTGATACGACTACGGATGCTTGTCCCGGTCTTCTTTCGAAACGCACGGTGTATCGTGATACACAGACCGTTCCTTGTCTTCTTCTTGGAGAATGTTCCTGCTGTCCTGAACAATCCAACCAGATAGTCCACAGACTGTACTGCGAGCTTGGCTGCCCGCCTTGGTTGCTTCAGTATGAGTGCCAGAAATTTCCTCTTCTTCTCAACGCCGATTAATATTTGGATGATCTTCTCCACCTAGAATTCTCCCCCTGCTTCTATCTTGTTGCGTGCCTCGCTAAGCTTAAGACTGTCCCTTCTTGGCGTAGGACCGTGCTTCCATACTTTGAACGGAGTCGAGACCACTTACCGGTCCACGTCTGGCCTCCTCTGGTCTTCATGCGCATCCCTTGCGTCCCCTCCCTTAGTGCTTGGGCTAGAGACGACCGAGCCATACCATCGATGTCGAATAGGATCAATGATGACGYTGTTTTCCCGCCGTAGTTTTCCTTGTTTCTCAGCCTTGCTCGCTCCTTCTTTCCGAGTCTCTTCCTTCTCCGTCTTTCCACCCTCGCGCTCCTTGTTCCCACTTGATTGAGTGTCGGGCATAAGGCGTTGATTATCCTTCGCTCCGTTCTTCAAGTTTTTGGGTGTTTGAAAGACAACTTTGCCACTGGGAGCAAAATGTACTTGAAAGCGCCGAACCTGTGCATCCAGCGGTACAGGTTCGGGTTTTGCCCCCTCCGCTTCTTGCGTTCGCATATCATGTGCTCTTTGCATCTAACCCCGAAAGATCGTGATGTGGCACTGATGTAGAATTTTTTGCACCATGGACTTGCTAGTGCGTAGACCCCGCTATCACCAAGCTTTGCGTCGCTGCTCTCTGCCGTGAGCACATCAATGATCTTGTTCATCCAGCGATACCTCCCCCGAATACATAATCTTAAGAATGTATCCGTTGTCATCTGCTCGACGCATCTTAACAGCCTCCTCGCTTCGCTCTGCCCCTCTAGAGCTTCTCTCAGAAACACCAGGTTATCGAGCGTTTCCTCGAGTTCCTGAGAGGCTCGGGCTTGTCCTAGTCAATCGGAGTCAGAATCCGATTGCGTCATGGTCGACTTCGCATTCCTCGGACTTCGCCTCGGGGTCGATGCTACCTTTTCTTTTGCGTCGTCTGTTTCTCCGCTCTCCTCTTCCCTATCTGTCTCCAGTACAAAGTCGGGTGACTTGGCTTCCTCGAAGCCATCGTATGCAAGTCTCGTATGTACTCTCACGAGTTCATCTACGGTCTCGTTCTTCTTAGTGTATCTCACTCCATTTTTTCTACATAGTTTCTTGATTACGTCGACCTTCTTGTTGGACAGGCTGCGATGCACCGATAGAGCGTATTCTACCATTCCCTCCTTCGAGCATCCTGCTGGGATCTTCTTCTCTGGAGTGATAGGTGATTCGGATCTGTTCGCCGTGACACGACGACTTCTCCTCGGTGTGTCCCTGTCTCCTCCTTCGGTGGTTCTCTTCGATCTGGATGCTAGGGCTGGTGTCGGTTTCCTCCTTGCCGTTGCCACATCTCCTCTTCTTTGTCGTATCGGCTGCTGACACTCCCTTGTCTCTGCTTGGATTGGTGTAGGGTTCCTCTTGCGCTCCTCTCGAACGTGGCTCTCGTCTAGCGACACCCTTCTTCGTCTATTCGCTGCGCTAGACGATTCGCCGATGAAGAAAGCCCTCCTTGGAGGGCTTCCCGTCAGCGCAGGTGTTTTCCCTTTGTCCACTTCGGTTCTTGCCGCGGTGGTTCTCAATATGGCTGCCAGCAGCTTTCGGACGGAGTCGTCGGTTGTTTCCTTCTTCGAGCTGGGGGTCGTCACTACCGCGAGGGAGCTGCACATCTTTGCTCTGAATGCTTCAGCTTCACTTTGCATGTCTTCTTGTTGGTGTTGCCATCTTCGTCGTAGATCTGCTTCCATTTGTGCCCTCATCTCGTTGGTGCTTCGTGTGATTTCCTCCATCCTTCGTCGGTCTTCCTCTTCCCTCCGCTTGCGCTCCTCCTCCTTCTTCCGTTTTTCTTCCTCTTCCGCCCTCTGTCTCATGAAGTCTCGGTAAAAATCCTTCATGCCTTCTAGCTCTGAATCGCCGTTTGGACGTCCTCTCTTCGCCCAGCAGTCCCGGGCGATGTGTCCAAATTTACCGCAGTTATAGCACGTTCTTTCGTTGTTGCTTCCTCCGCTATTACCTCCCCCTCCATTCCCGAACCCGTTTCCGTTCCCATTGTTGTTGTTATTACCATTTCCGAACCCGCCATTCCCAAAGTTATTATTCGCCATGTCAGCCTCCGTTTTTGCGCCGCGATTCGAACCAGATTCCCTCCCTCTCTAGTCGGCTAAGCTGCACCGATCCAATCGCCCTACGTTTCCCTTGTGTATTCTACTGATTCCTTCTATCCGAGTTAGAGTCGTCCTCTATCCAGCTAAGTTGCGCTCTATCCCACTACTCGATCCGATGCATTAACTGCACGGGCACCAAACAGGCGGACAAAGAGCCCCGGTTTCCGTGTATCTCGAGAGAGGAGACAGCTGCGGCCACACAGACTGTTAGCGGGATTGGAAGCAACAGATGCGACAAAGCGCTACACATGCAGAGCCGTAACCGAAAAAGGAGCCCACACATCCACACTTGCAAAGAAAGATTTCCCTTCCAAAATTCCGGAGAGTACCTCGGAAAAACATAAGCACCGACTCTCGTGCGAGAGGATCGTAAGAACAACTTGTAGCAAACCTCTCCTAGGCGGAGTACCTCTACGGGTTTCGCTAGAGCCGCCCTCCCTACGCTCATCAGGAGGTTCTGGAAGATCCACTTCCTACTGCGAACCTATGCCCTGCTCCGCATTTTATACTCACTCTCCGATTTCCCTTGTTCCTGTCCCCTCGTACTATTCCTCAAGTTTCCCTGTCTATTTTTTCCGAAAACCTTTTGTCTACAGAAATTTCCCAAAACTTCTGATTCTACGGATCCCCTTCTGAACTAAGCCGCACTACTTCCCGTTGTTTTACACCTGCAGTTCTGCGTGCTGTGTGTCGGCTTCGCTGTTGCTAGCCGCGCCCGTGATCCCCGGTGCAGTGCCATAGTTAGATTTTTATCTACTGTTTCTGTCCCGTCCCACCGGTTGTCAGCACCCGCTGGCTAAGTTCTCGCTGTTCCCTGAGTTGCTAACCGTTGTTGTCTGGACTTTGCCTGACTGATCCCGTCCTGAACTGGGGCGTGGCATCAGCCAGATATCCCACTTTCCCGTTTTCACAGTTCCAGACTTGCGTGTCATGTGCCAGCTTCACTGAGTGCTGTTGCCGACTGCCCGACTGCCTGACTGATCCCTGATCCATCCTGTTCTCATCTGCATGAATATGGCCATTCCATTTGTCGTTTTCTTCAGCCCCTTCCATGCTTATGGCTACCGTCCCGTAGGGTAACTCCCCACATAGCGGCTGCCACTCGTGCTACCTCAAGAAGGCCATTCGAGGCCTTTAGCCTGGCCAACTTGGCCAGGCCCCCCAAGAAAAAGTGGGGGGCTCGGGCCAGGGATGGAGGCCAAAAAAAGAAAAAAGAAAAAGAAGAAATAAAAAAGTAAAGAAACGAGGAACTGCGAATCCACCTACGTGGGGAAGGCCCTCACCTCACCAGTGCTTTGAGGAATGTATCTGGCCAGGAAGTGAGGAACATGAAACAGGTCGTTTTCCTTTTTTGTTTGTTGTTGTCAGGTCCTTGAGGCGCCCTGCCAGCCAGGCAGGGCGGATTCCACGCGAGGCAGCTAACTGCCTCGCTTCATTTAGCATCCTGTATCGGACCGCAATCACAACATAAGGGATGTTGTTTTTTTTTTGTTTTTTTATCTGCTGTTCGTGGATAGACGAGGGCCCTGATTGAACTGCTACAGCCCGAGTTTCAACTGCAATTGAAACTCGGGGCCTGACTAAACTGCTAAAACGCAGTGCAATTACAAACTGTTTTCGTGACTGGGCCGTTTTCATTTGGCATGCTGCCTGTAAAATTGTGTAAATGACCTTAGATACTGTCAGTTTGTTTTTCCTTTTTAGTGGTTTAATATAATCATATAAGTTGTTAGCCCTTGTGTCTCTGATTTTTATTTATTTATTTATTTATTTTTATTTTATTTTTTTTAGATGTGTGTTTTTCCTTTGGCATGCTACCTGTAAATGAGCTTAGCTAGTGTCAGTTTGTTTTTCCTTTTTAGGCAACTAACTGATTGTGCGCTCTGTGGCATTTTGATTGATTGAGATAGCACAGCAGTCAAGGATAAGCAGGGCCCGAGTTGGCAAGTTTGTCCTCGTTGTTGCACTGTTATATCCGCAACGAGAGGGACTCCAACAGGTGACCTCAGCTATGACAGCCGGATGCCTTTACCACTGCAACTGTGACCCGGTGTTCTAAACTGAACCCATACAGGGTTTGACATTCAGCCCAGTGCGCCCCATCACACTTGCAACAAGGACCTACTCCTCAATGCAGGGGACATCCATGAGATCCTCCGCAGGCAGCAGCATCCACACAGAATCCAAGACCCTCCTCAGGTGCCAGCATCCATGCAGGCAGCAGCATCCACGCAGAATCCAAGATCCTACCTTCATTATAGCTGTATTTGAGGCATCTTTCAGTCTAGATACAGCTATAATGACCGTACATTGTATTCGGGGGAAGAAGGTAGTACGCGGTTGCATGCATCCACGTAGACACCATCGCCGAGTAACCCGGCATCGCTCCATTACTCTCAAAATGACAACGTGCAAAATCAGCATGAATCTTCCGCTAGATTTTGAGCTTTCCTGTTAACGACGCTCTGCGTCAACTTTCATGATCATATGATTCTCATTGCATATTATACGAGCCAGGATTGCGCTCGGGGGTTATCTTTTCGTCTGTGTCTCTCACCTTTCGTCCGGTCTAAGTCTATGCATGATACAGACGGCATGTCTGTTGACTTTGCTTTATGTTGCATTGATGAGCTTCTCTATGTCTCTTCCGCTAGAACATAGAAAGATGTGACTTTTGCGAGGCCGCCCTCCGCTCATACACGGTGGGTAAGTTTGCTGTTGTAGCCCTACCGTCTTAACCCGAATATAACGCCCGATCATTATCGCTATATTTGGGGCATTTTTCAGGCATTTTTCAGTCCAGATGCAGCGATAATGACCGGGCGTTCTATTCGGATGAAGACGGTAGCCCATCCTAAAGGGCTGTGGCGTATGATGTAAGGGATGCTAGGTCCATTTCCCAGCTTTTAATTTAATTTAATTTCTTTTTTTGGAGGTGTTTTCCTCCTCCGGTGATACTTCTACCAATTTTTTATTTTATTTTTTTTTCCCAGTAGTGGATACTATGAGTATATACATATATATATNGCCCCTTGGTAGTCCTTGAGAGAAAGATTTATTCTTTTGGGGTATTCTGAAAATGAATGAGGATAGGTGCTTGTTTTGCAAGTCCTTGCTGGCGCCCAGGATGGGTGAAGAGGCATTAGACTCATCTATTTTGGACCTGGAAGGAAGGGGGTACTGATCGTTTTTTTTGGATCAATGCTACTGTTATGTTATTGTACTCAAGGGGACGCTGGACCCGCTTTCCAGCAGGTGTTGCTCCCCGCCAATAGACTGAAGCCCTCCATGAATCAGGAAGGAGTGTATGTTATTACGATCACTCCTTCTTGTGAATACGGGGTTAAAAAAAAAAAGTGAGGCGGCATGCAGAGGCGATGGCGATGGACCTTCGCGTGGCGCTTACAAATTCGGGACGACTTACGAGGACTCCACTGCGCCGCTGCAAATGCCCGTTTCCACCATCGCAGATATGGACGCCACCTGCCCCGCATCGCCGTCGTGACGTCCAGCACCCAATTTGAAATCTGATTTTCGAACGGGGAGGTCCATTGCTTTTAAAGGTTTTTCTTTTTTGCGGTCTCCAGCACCTTCAAAATTTCCCGCCTTCAGCAGCTGGACCACACCGTAGCAAGACTGGCATCACCCAATGGACCAAGGCATTGCCCCCCTCCCCCGGCTGTTTATAATATTATGAAAATGGCCACCCGCGGCCGAAAGGAATCATCCTTGGGAGACCACCCCAAGGATAGGTGGAACGATGGCGGGAACTTACTTCAAAACCCCCAAGGAAACTTCCTTCGGCCCCGAGGACACCCCAAGGAGTGTCTAACGAGGCCCAAACTGTTACATCGGAGTTTCACCCACTCATCAGGAGGCTGAACCCGCAACAGTCTGCAGAATCCCCTAACTGATAACACTGTATATTTCAAATCTTTCTCCATTTATTACGGACCACTGCCCAAGGCAATCATACACAAAGTGGGGCAAAAAAAAAAAATTAAGAAAAAAAGAAAAAAAAAAAAACACGTGACAACATTCAAAAAAAAAGAAAGGAAATGCCGGAAGGTCCTGTCATTGCTGTGTGTACCAAGTGTGTTCCTAGGCAGGGATGACGTTTCACGGTTTCAGCCCTTGCAAAACTTATGGTTGTAATTGCATTCACAAATTTGAAATTTGAAATTTGAAATTTGAAATTAGGAGGGTCCTACCCTTCCCCCAAGCCTAGGCTATTCTGAATCTCCACGCTCAGGGGCATACTCACGTAGGACCTTTTTTTTTTTTATAATGAAAAGCCCTTTTTTTTTTTATTTTTAACTATGCTATATTCTTCTCTCAATTTCACCGCTCAATATCTACCTACCACTACTCCTAAGGCTATACAGGGGACCCCTGCACGCCTACCGTCTTCACGCGAATAGAACGCCCGGTCATTATCGCCGCATCTGGACCGGAAGTTGGGCCAAATGCAGCTATAATGACCGGCCGTTCTATTCGGGTGAAGACGGTAGCTACCTCTCACAATTAAGGGCCCGGAAAATACAATCAATGAGTTGCAGATTCAGGGGCCACGAGGTCTCCCACCTCACTCAGCCAGCCGAGCCCGCCCCCCCCCCTGTAAAAAGGAACCAAAAAAGAAAAGAAAAAAAGAGAAAACTAAAGAATTCCCGAAAATAGTAACAGGTCTAAAGCAGGAATTCCTAACCCTAACCCTAACCCTAATATATCCTAAAAAACCGCACTGATCAACTACTGTCTCTTATACAAAAAAAGAAGAAGCCTATTAACGAGCCTAGCTCCATGGTCACCCATAAACAGCAGAAATATGTGCGATCCTTCATGTTTGGTGTGCCTGCTGCTCCATTGCATTCTATTGCATTAATTTCTCCCCTCACCGGTGTCCGGCCTCAACCTCAGCAGACAGGAAGGCTCCAGGCTGCACCTCTATCCACTACCTCTCCCATTGGCGACTCCAGCTCAAATCTTCAAGCCAAGTGGGACAGACAAGCAACAGCAGCACTACAAAAAATGTGAATGCGTACAAGCACGACAGCGGGAGG